GTTATTTGTCTCTCAGAAACAGTTCATAACTTCCCTTCAACTCATTCATGTCACCTAAAAGGTAAACCTGTTTCTCCATCACCTGTTCAGCTCTGATGATTCAGTAAGGACATCTCCTGGTTTCATCTTCATGTTTCCCTCTCACCACATATCCAAACCGCTATCATGACCAGCAGTTCAACATCAGTAACATCATAGCACCCACCCAGCTGTATAGAAACTCCATCATGCTAGCTAGTACGAAAAAGTCAGCATAACGAAAATAAACTCCACCTCAACTTGGTTCATATCTGACCCAGATAGACTGCAGGTCATAACTTCTTACCTGAAGTTCAGTTCACCTGACACTCAGACCTGCGGCCACCTCGGGTCTCTGCTCCTCCTACCTCCCCTTTCCCTCATCCACCTGCTGGCCTCTGTGGAATCTCTGCGATAGCCACCGCAAGAAGTAACGAATAACGACCCTATATAAATCCCAGTAATGATTAACGCGTTCCTGATTTTGGCATAATAACTAGTTACCGTGCTCGTTACCACAGTAATAACGTAGTTACTGTAACGCGTTAGTCCCTACACTGCATATGTGGACATCACATTTTGGGTTACTTAGACCAAAATACTCAACTTTGCTCTACAAGGGCCTGATATCCACTTATGAGCAATGTTCCCTCTAATTTTTCATGTGTCTGAGCGAACACACAAACTCCCTGAACGATCCCGTGGACCACTGTGAGCAACAGCAGATGTGTGCACTGTGGTCACGCCAGCATCAAATCCATCCAAGTTACATGGTTTATTAGAATAATCAAATTACAGCATTTACATTTATGTTAGACTACTTTTGATTAACTGCTTTAGCCCACTTACAATGAAAATTTAAAATAAATGTTGTTCATGACCTGTGCAGTATGTTAACACTATTGGAAGTAAAAAAGCTCTGCCTCGTATTATGAGTATGAGTCTGTGGTCTGGGAGAGAGTCCTGTAACTCTCTGTCTGCAAAATACAGTAAACAATGATCAATGTTGGGCAATTAATTATATAGTTACTTCTTCAAAAAAGTAACTGAGTTATGCAAACAACAAAGTTTTTTGCAGCTGTTTACCTAAAAATGCAGCCAAGGCGTTTTTTTAAACAAACATTTCAAACTATTTACAGAACAATCAGCTGTTCTGCATCAAATTTGATGCCACACAAATTATTTGTGCAACTCCCAAAAATAATTTCTCTCCACTATGAGATGAAGGAGAACAGTCTGATACCTGCAGGCCTGACAACAGGAGATGTATCACTCCTGTAACACCTGTAACATTCAGCAGCCGCCTCATTGTTCTGACACACACAACAAAACAGTGGCTACACTACACACTAACTACACAAGATTTGCGCTAAACGTCGCAAATGTCTCACATCTCAAAACACCGCTGTCACTCCTAAAACATCCCCCCTTCCTAAACAACTAAATGCCATGTTGCCATATCATTTTTTGATTGGTCAACATGGTACATTTTTCGACCAATAGGAAAGGGTGGGGGTTTTGGCCGTTGTTTTTGCTCACAGGCGAAGAGTGCTTTCGAGCGTTTTACTTATAAAAGGCCGTTTGTTTCTCCTGCAGTAAATATAAACAACGATAGTATTCAGGAAGAAAACCAAACATTGCATATATTTTTATCATAACTCTGGTTTTATGTGGCCTATCAACACAATTTAAAAACTGGTATAAAGTCCACACTTTTCCGTCAATTGTTCGGTCTGTCCTGCTCACATCTCCATTGGTTGTACACATTGTCATTAGGCTTGTCATCATCAGAAGCCACGTGGCTTCACTCCACATCAGCCATGCTGCTTTGCTAGCTAAAACAGTGTCGGCACATAAGGACGCTGTCATAGCCTGTCAACGACGTTGATTAGCTGCCTATATATGAATGTGAATTGGCTGAACTATGGGATAAGGTGGCATCGTTCTAATCCCATACGGGAGCAGCCAGTCACTTACTGACTAACACTGCAAAACAGAATTGTTAAAGTATTAATTTTAATTTTTTGCGCCCAACGCAGATTTTCTGTCCAGAGACCATGTCAGCAGTGCGCAATTGCTCACCCACGCAGCTTAGAGGGAACATTGCTTACGAGGACATTATACTACTACTGTTCTATCGAAATTTTAAATGAATATCCTAATATGTGGCTCTCATTTTTCTTAGAAACAAAAATTAGCTAAATTAGGTAAATTAAAAATGCATGCCGTGGAAGAGTTCGGGTGGTTTAGGAGGTTAAATTAAATTAAAATAGATTAGATTAGATTAGATTAATGTTTTAAAATGAATATAATGAAGAAATATTCAATATTATCTCATATTATTTCACATTTTATATTTCTTATATATTTCTTTATTCTTTACATTATCTTTTTACATTTTTATTTGTTTTTTACATGATTAATTACTATATTTAATATTCATCATCACCAATGTACTATTTATCATTTGAAAATCTAATATAATCCGTTATTATTATTATTATTATTATTATTATTATTATTATTATCATCATCATTTATTGCTACTACTACTGTAACATATATCGGTGATTTAACAGTAAACTATTATAAATAACAAAATTAATTTATTATTTGTTTTTGTTTGTTTATATTTAAATGAGGCGATGGAAGCACTAATGCGCAGGTATTTCAATTGTCTCGGGGTCTGAAGGAGCGAGACGAGGAGAAGTGGGAGGAGTAGGTAGAGGAAGAGGAGGGGTGGCTAATGGAGGAAGAGGAGGGGTGGCTAATGGAGGAAGAGGAGGGGTGGCTAATGGAGGAAGAGGAGGGGTGGCTAATGGAGGAAGAGGAGGTGTTCTGCACAGTTGAGTCCAGAGGAGAGGAGCGGCCGCCATGTTAACCAAGAAGCCCGTAACCTCGGTCCTTCCGACGGGTGAGCATACCCTTTGTATCCGACAGAAGGCACCTGAGCCGGGCCACGGTTGAGGAGATGCCCCAGTGTTTCTCTGGCTGTCTTTAACGGCAGGTAGTGAGTGAGACACGGAGGAGCAGAGCGGGGAGGGCTGGGGGCTGTGCTAGCTAAGTGGCTCCAGTACGAGCAGCCCTCCAGGCTCGCCTTTTTCGGTCTCTGCTCTTTAAATTAAGCATAAAAGCTGGGAGCTAGCTGGGCTGACAGCGGGAGAAGTGAAGGAAGGAAAATCAGCTCTGTCCGTCAGGTTAATTTTTAGCAAACAGATGAGAAGTGACAGCAGCAGTAGCTTTTCCCACATTCTCTCCTTGCTCGGTTATTCCTTCTCCTGCTCTCCGTCAAGCTGCCTTTGTCACCGTGCTACTCCTCGGTGTCCTGGCTCTCCTGGTGCCCTGTGTGTGATGTTAGCTTTGCTGGTTTCTGTGTGTTTTGCGTGTTTTCCGTTGCCGGGTAATTCTTGGCCTCCGGCTCCACGGACAGAAATAAATCTTCGGTCAGAGGTCAGTTGGTTTGCTCCACATTAAAGGTATGGTTTCCCCCTCCTATCACTTCCTAAAATCTTAAGCCTCACGCTGAGCGTTACAGCTGATATTCTGCCTTTATATTCATATAAGGATTCAGTGGCTTTGTGCTAGCATGGAAGCTCTTCATACACTCCTGGCGTCTGTGTTTGAACCATTAATACGAGATTAATTCGCTCTCCAGAGGTTTGACGATTGTGCTTGGTTTTATTTTTATTTTTTTTTATCATACACTTAATGTCAATAAATACTTTGATGGTTGGAGGCAGTTTCATTTTGCGTGATGAGCCTGATTGGTATATTAGCATTGCATTAATGCTGTTAGTGTGAGGAAGTCACAGCAGAAATTACTTATGGTATAAACAGATTAAAGGGCGTAGCCATCCATTTGTGCGTGGACTGTTGTTTTGAAGCCTGAAGGTTGGCCATAGTGGTTATTTTGAAGCTTTATTAGCCATAAACTCCTTTATTTACACTGATGGGCTATTTTTGGCTGGTGTATTCATAGACTTTTGGACATGTTGGATATAGACAGCCGCTGGTTTTTGGTCTGCTGTTTTGAAGCCACAGCTTTGGCCCATTTAGATGTTTTCTTGAAACCGGATGTGGGGCAGACTTGGGAAATTGTTAGCTTGGTTAGCTACTTTAATACTCTACTACTTTAAACCTTTGTTGCTGTTTTTTTTTGTTTGTTTGTTTGTTTGTTTTTTTAAGGACGTGACCCTATTTTGGAGCAAATGTATAATATGTACAATTTACTTTCTTGTTAAATAGGGTGCTGAAAAGGCATTTAAAAATATTAATGAGTTGTTAGCTGATGTTAGCGCTTGCTAGCATCATGATATTAAATGGAGTTCTAACTTTTGCTCATGGAAAATGTGTTTATATTTGAGCTAGGAAGTTGTTAGCTAGCCTGGTTAGCGAGGTACCAATTCACACTGTGATATAAAATGGTAGTCTAATCTTGGCTAGTGAAAATGGGCCTTAAATATACACACATGGATGTAAAAGCTAATGGTAGCCACAGGAGGGGTTACCTAGGGAACTATTCAGCAACTAGCTTGGTTGACAAGGTGATAACCAGGGTTACTGGGTTTTGGAAAACAGGCTTTATGTTTTGCTTATTGAGGTTTTGGAGACTCTTGACCACTAACCATGTGACTTAACTTATCCACCATTCTAGATGTGTGATAACTAAGGGAAGGGATCAAGTAAGTCCCCGATCACCCCAGTTGTGAGATGGAAAATGAATATAATTTTTGTGAGCAATTAGTGGATTTTTATGGCAATCGTTGGAAAAAACATTTTTTTGAGGATGCAATTTATTGAAAACAACGCTTAAACTGAAACAGGCTATATATACACATGTATGTGTATACATACACATGCATGTATGTACGTCCTTATGGCATCTGAGGATAACGTAGGGATGTGTTGTGCAAGGTGAAACGAGTATTTCTTGTTTTCAAGATTTGCTCTTATTAACTTGGCACAGTAGTAGTAGTTCTTTTGACTTCCTTGATTGGTGTTGGCATATACCTCATTTTGGTAATAATATCTAGGTTTTGTTGTGCTGCCTGTTTCTGTTTGTTTTTACATAACAACCCAACTATTGTTACTGTTAAGTTGTTTTTCACAAGTTTATTTCAAACTGTGTTAACTAGAGCAGGGCGATATGTCCAAAAATATTTATCACGATATATATATTTGAAAATTTGCGATAACGATATAACCGACGATATAATTGATGCGAGACAAAATACAACTCCACAACATTACTAGCGCAAAAAGACAACCTTCCATTTATTTTCACTTAAACAAGAAGCTGGTTTTTATGTACATTAAAGCTTTATAAAAATGTAACAGTGCAAATGCAAATTCCTTGCTGAAAGTTTAACCAAAAGGCATTTCCAGTAGAAATGGGCTGACATATCCTGAGCAGAACCATGTATAATATCCACTGAAGTTAAAAAGAGGTGCTTTGCAACATTAAACTGCAGTGTGCAGTACGCATTTTTCGGACCATAAGGTGCACGGGATTATAAGGCACATTAAGCGAAACAAAGCAGTCAGATAAATCAAACTTTATTAAACTCATTCTTCTTGCTTCCTCCACTTCTGTACCATTGAGTCATTAATGTTGAATTCTCTGGCAGCTGCTCTATTCCCATGTTGTTGCAGTATATTAATGACTAACCTCGTATTGTGGATGGATTATCTCAGTTGTTCTCCTGACTGAAGTTTGGTCCGTTTACAGCATCCTGCCATGCGATTGCATTTGTCTCTAACCATGAAGAACCTTCACGTTAACTTTTATAAGTGGAAAAGTGTTAGTGTTCGTCCTCCAGCTTCACTGTTTATGTTATGCTAACATAGCTGTGTCGCTAGCGATCACGTAGCACATCATTATATACCAGCTAGCCCAACTTCAGTAACCCTACAAACATCACTGCTGTTTAGTTTCCTGTCTTCATTTATGTTGGAAGTGATAGCAGAGCTGTACGTTTGATTTTTTTTCAGAAATCTCTCAGTCAGAACATGCTATATCATGCTTCGGTAACTAGCGAAACTAGCGAGCTAACTTCCGCTAGCTTCCTGCTAACTTCTAACTCCGTTAAATGTAATAAGTTTTGTTTTCATGGATGCCTGGAAGTTAAACTTTATAGTTACACCTGGTAAAGCAGCAATGCTGATCGTTTTATTAAAGATGAAAGAATTTAGACAGTTTTTAACTCTAAGTGATGCTGCAGTGTTGTTTGACCTGAAGCATACGGAGTTTAGGACCCAGATTACTCCCAGATTTAAGAGCATCTTAGTCCGACAAATACAACAATAACGACGGCCGCTTGCATGTTCTGCAAAAAAATGTGCTTTGTTGTGTATCTGACGGACAAACACCAAACCAGTTCCACATCACGGAAGTTGCACCATTTTTACAAACCAATTCTGGTTCATCTGTTTCACTCAACAATCGGCCATGTGCGTATGAAAACAAAGGCACTGCGCATGCGCGTTTTACTCCCATTCTATCGCGATATTTCATTTTCCTATCGTTGCCTAACATTATACCGGTATTACCGTGAACGGTATAATATGGCCCAGCCCTAGTGTTAACTCATCTTCACTCTAATTCTACAATAAACATATTTAAAAGAAATATCACGTGCTTCATGAAATAAATAACAGATAATTTAACCTTTTTAGGCCTCATATATACAGCAAGGTGTATGTCAGGCAGTTGTGCCAAATTTATTTGAAGCTTGTCTTGTGGATAATGTAAGGGTGTTATGTGTAGTAGCATGAAGTATATGCTTTGCAATGTATTATGCTATCTTTAGGAACTAAGACATTGCAGTTGAGTTTGATTGCACATTGCTGTATTCAGTTACAGTGATGTAAACAGAGGCAGGCAGCCAGATGTAACATAGCTCTGATATTATTGCTGTCATTTGCTCAAAGCCAGCGATGTGCTGTCAGTAATGAAGTTTAAACAGTGACTGATACAGAGTATAATTACTCTGTGATCACAGTCCTGTTTTTGTCATTTAAACTGTCAGACTTGTAGCAAGCTTTCCCTGCGCATCCCTCATCCTCGTCTAACCACCTGCTTTATAATCAGTTCATTAGCTGCTTGAATCAGTCTGTTTCCTGCTGTGTGCTGGCAGTTTGTGCCAGTTCATGCACTGTTTCCAGATCTGTGTCCCAGTTTCTCACTGTACACCAACAAGCATGGGGTGGATGTCGTAATGTTGACGCTGCGTGCTGACAAATGTCTGTTAAACTGGCTCTGCTGCAGCAGCACACGGGGTTTTAAAAGGTGCTTTTGAGAGGAGGGCGGAGTTTGCAACTGTCTCGGTTATCTGTGTCAAAGCAGATGGTGCCTGGTTATCAGAATACCCACATTCAGAGAGTTTCTGTCTTTGAAAACATCACAGCTGCTTGTTTACAAGTAGTGCTGATCATCACTCTCGCAGATAGATCGACAAACCTCGTTAATGTGGGTTTTTACCAGCTGCTCCTAATTAACAGTGATTCTGAAATGGAAAGGTTTGGATGTCATCGGGCTGATTTGTTCTTGTTTTCCATTTGAATGCACTACTGCTTAATTCTTGTTTCTTAACACGAGTTTTCCCAGTTTCCCTGTCTTTATCTTCATGTATCTGAGTGTCTGTGCCATAAAGTGACTCGTTTTGACTTCTAAAGGGCAAAAATAGGTGAAATTGTGAATTTTCTGATATTAATTTTCTTGGTGATTTTACCCAGAAATCAGGTTTCAAAGTCCAAACAGTGAAAATGTGGCAGAATTTGTGGCTTTAAAATAAAAAGATGCTGCTGAAAGGGAAGTGAAAAGTTAAAAAGGCGAGGCAGCCTGAATAAGTATGATGACGGCATCCGATTTCCATAATTAAACAGAAACATGAATACCCAGCACATACCTGCCTCCTGAGGCGATAGGTTGATGCTTTAGTCCAGCTCTTGGGTTAACCGCTGCTCTTTAAAAGTAGAGTTTGGAAGAATTACAGTTTGAAAAGTCTTCACATGTGTGACTGAGCAGCAGTACAAGTCAGTTTACATCTTCATGACTGAAACAGTTTGTTTACCCTCCTGCATAGTAATGTTAGCACACCACCAAAGGAACAGCAGCATGTGTTGATAAAAACATACAAGTAATTAATGGCTTTACTGCAATTTTTACACTTTGTAAAGCCACCCAGGTTCTGTTGGACCATTTGGCTGAGCACTTTTGGTCCCCGGGCTGCATGTTTGACACCTCTACATTAGTGGATTGCCCAACCAGAGTCCTAACAGCCAATTGGCAGCTTCAAAACTGAGGGACTTTGACTCCACAGCTGTATGTGCTGCTAAATTTGGGTGTCATTAACACCCAGCCATGGGCGTCTGTTTTTAAAAAAATTTTTTTTATGATACTTCACTCACTATTTTTACAGTGTTAGAAGTAGGGAATAGTGTAGAAGTTCAACTAAATGTCAGTGAGTCATCTACA